TTCCATTCTTCAGCAATATACCTCTGGAAGTGTGTTTTGCCATATGGACTAAGCTGTTATGCACTGACAGACATTATAATACTCTGCACAACTCAACAACAATAACTTCACTGAATCAAGTATATTTATTGTTTTCTTAGAATTGTGGGAAAGAGAACCATTGGTAGGTCACATTCTAACACAGGAACAACACTCCTACAAACCAAAATTGCTTAACCAATACTTGATAATTCCTTAACCCTGTTTATTTATTACAGTAATTTATGCTATACCTTCCAGGACACCAAGGCAGCTTACATGTAAGTGAGTACATATTGAAATAAACATGCTCACAAGCAGTAACATATGGGAAACCATAAGAATCTTCCCCACTGGATCTGCCTAGCATGCAAAGTCTCCAATCTGTTCCCCAGGAAGTTGCATGTACTGCCTGCTGCTGTATCTCAATGTAGAGATGTGAAAGTTTATCATAATTGTCTGCTGAATACAGTGTTTTTGGTTCCAGTCTGTCTGGGATGTGCGGATAAAATAACTAGCAAATATTTCCCTTAGTGGACTAGATGCTTCCCTTTTTAATGCCTGTCATCTGATAGTCTTTGGGTTCCTCTTTTTGTTACTCAGACTGTCCCTGCTTATTGCTAATGGGTATCAAGGGCAAAACAAGAGGGGAATCAGAATAGATTCTAAATCCTATTAAATAAACTAGGATATATGTCTTAATTTTACCATATTGTTGAACTATGAAGGGGGTCACAGGGTAATTGTGAACAAAAGGATGGGGTCAATGAAACAGGAATGTGTGCAGGAAAACCTATAGTTCAAAAAGATGCTGTAAAGAAAATGTTTTGGATCGGTCATTTGCCTTTCTGCAGTGCTCAGCAAAACACAGGAAATGCAGTGTCTGGATTGTGTGTATGCTTCCGTAGAAGAACAGAATAAGCACAGAATGTGGTAAAGGGTTAGTTAGCTCAGCTTCCTGATAATCTAAGCTTCCACTTAAAACGTACAGACACACAATCAAGTTTCTAGCCTTTACACTGTGAAAATAATAGTTTGAAAACATGTGGGTAATGCCTCCTGAGATTTCAAAAGCTGTCCAGGTAGTCAGGGACAGGACTGCACGGAACTACACATTGTTTTCTCCTCCCAGCAGCTTGTAAAAATTGGAATGAATGATGCACAACATTAACACTGCAAAATAAAGATATAGGCTGCATAATTTAAGTTTTTCCCTATTTCTTTTGGTACAATATAATTAGTTTGCTAAACATATGTTTTCCCTAAGGAAATCAGAAAAAAAACCAAGACACCCATAGTTCAGAATAAAGTATTTCAGGAACCAATGGAGACATAAGAAAAATTATTTCAAACAAAAGATCTTACCAAATTGTGTGTCTACCAATATTCAGTAATGACTTATACAAATATTTCTAGGTATTCAATAGTTATTCCTATTAAGTATGCACTCCTTTTGATTAATATGATTTTTATGTTAATAAACATTTAAGTAACTTGTTATAACAATGTACATTCTTTAAATCAGAATATTAGATTTACAAATTATGATTGTTTTAATTAGTTACTGGTGATCGATCTTGACAGCTTGCGCTCATCATTGTCCCTTTTTCTTCATTTAATTCATTTTCTTCATTTACTTCATGTTTACTTTACTTCAAACTTTATGTTCCAGTATTATACAATGCAGACTCCTTTGTGTCTATTAATATAGCTTACTGCTAGATCATATTAAGATAGTTTGCCAGATCTATTAATAATAAGACAAAATATTGTCCTAGCTTTTTGAGCTTTTTAAAATGATTAATAATTAATATGAGAATGCTTGGTAATTACATAACACTTCATTTGCAGTGCTCAGTTGCTTCAGAAACATTTTATCAGTTAAATGGTTCCAACAACTTTGGAAGTTTTTTTACAGATAGGAAGGGTGTGTGTGAAAAATATTGGCTTGCCTGTGATATCCAGTGAGGTCAGGGCAAAGCCCAGATCAGAACTTGATATGCAGTTGTTAAAGCCACAGAGTCTGTCAGGATAAATTAACCATTCATCCTGCAGTGGCACTGAGATGCCACCGTCCTTGATATTAATTCTTATAGCTGGGATTATTGAAACACACACACACACACACACATTTCAAGGAGCATACACACACACACACACACACACACACACACACACACAAAATGTGAATGTTTCATTAGTAACATGGTTTTTATAAATGATAATCAGAAACCTGTGTTGTAGGGTGTGCGCGCCTTTCCTTTCCTTTCTATGCAGACATTGTGGAAGTGCGAGTTAATTGGTATATTTCTATACAGTTTTGCTGGATACAGCAGTGCCTGCTCACTGCCCATGCTGAAGTGCACTGAAGCCACTGGTGCAGTGTCCTTGGGCTCAGTGGCTCCCTTGAGGACTTCTGGTGTCCACAAAGCCTCCTCCACTGCAACCTAGCGGGCAGAAAGAAAACAAATGGTTGTTTATGAAAGGGAAGTATTTAAGTGATAGAGTTGTTTTCTAGGGAGGAGTTTTGGAATATTGAGAAAGATTAGAGAGAACTGGAAAATCTTTAAAGAATACCTGGAAAACTATTGTAATAATAAACATCTCTTGGCAGAACTAGAATGATCCTTGTAAGATAAGAAACATAATGTTTTTGATATCCGATAAAAATAAAGAAAGCAATACAGTAATTTGGAACTGTGTGTGAAAGAACAATAGAAATAATAATACAATGAGTCTAATCCGAAGTTAAATGTATTTATTCTCCTTTTTATTTTTTTCTTTATTAATTCCTATATTCTTCCCCCCTTTTTTCTTTTTCTTCCTTTCTTCCTCCTTTAAATTTTTCTCTCTTCTCACTTTCTTCTTTTAATCTCCTTTTTTCTGATCAGCTAAGAAAGAGATAAAGTTAAATATGAAAAGTTGACTAACCAGAAGTGATGTTTTGTAGTTTGTTAACTATTGTTAAAGATGGTCAACTGTCATGAATTGATGTATTAGTTAAATAAAATTTATTTCCTAAAAAAAAGAAAAAGAAAGAAAGAAAGAAAGTGGCTAGCTGCACTTGTCTGGAACAATAACAGAAGAGACCATCTACATCTGGGGAAACTCTGAAGCTATTCCATTGAGTTACAGAGGAAGAAAAGGTCAGATTTCTCTGAGCTCTGACAAAAATGGAAGAGAAACTGGACTCGAGAGGAAGGGGTAAAATTAGAGAAGATGTTTAGTTCCAGACTTTGTGTGGATGCCCTGTACAAAGTGAATGAAGAAAGTGTGGCTTGTGATAGGAATTTTGAGGTCTTAGATATATGGTAATGTTCATAAGCGTACCAACCAAGCACGTACATAGATCAGCACAGGAAGACCAACCAGGAACCATTTTGATTCCTAAAATGAGCAAATGTTTTCTCTGCAAGGTCAAAGTGGGAATCCTCCCCATTGTCTCTTTCCTCACAAATCCTGTCTTAAGGGCACATTTAAGATATGAATAGGGTGTGAGCCTGTGACCTGGCCTGGGAACTAAGTACAGTATTTATCATTACAAAAGATTGGCCAGGCTCCCCAGGAAATCCAATCAAATAACCTGCCAGACAGGAGATAGACAAGGACAGGAGAAAGACAACATTCAAATTTCTGTTTTAAGACCGCCTTTTCTGTGATGTAGGTATAATATATCTGAGGGGTGGTCTTAGGTTACACCCCTTCTGTGATGTATGTATGATGTTTCTGGGGGTGGTCTTGATCTACAGGGTGGCAATTTCAAAAGTCTTTATAAGGCCTTGCGTGCCATTTTTCTGGGTTCCTCCTCTCTCCTGCGTTCCTGGGTTCCTCCTCTCTTCACACTACCTCTTTTCAGAGACGCTGAGTATGTCAAATATGCCATAAAATTCCTTCCAAAGTTAGGAGTATGCATTATGTCATGATGATGGACTTCCTGGGATTTCACTTGACCCCCAAAGGGATGGAGATTGATCTTGCTAAGGTCAGCAGTGTGGTGTCTTGGCAGGCACCAAAGACTAAGAAGGATTTGCAGAAGTTCTTGGAGTTTGCAAACTACTACTGGAAGTTCCTGCTTGCCTACTCGACAGTAACAGCTCCCCTCACTGACTGCTTACGGAAGCAGGACCTACTGGAGATAAGTTGATATGCTCACAAGGCCTGACACTCTGTTCAGTCTGTGCAGATGTTTTTGCTAATAAAGAATTACGTAACTCTAACTGGCATAATGTGATTTACTGCTGGAATGCTCCTGACACATTTGCTTATAATATTTTTACCTGGTGTTTGTGTATCTTTATCAGGAGGGGGAAAAGTGGGACCTGCAACAAAACGTTGCAGTGTGGAGTATTTGAACCCCTAACTCTCCTCCAAGGCATAAATGGAACAAGGTTAAAAGGAAACCTCTTTATGACAGCAAGTGTCCTGCTTTGGTGTAGGAACTTTAAACGTTGGTGAATATACGAGTTACCAAATTATACTGTTTGCTAGCTGTAAGATGTGGCAGGATGCTGACTTTCCCCATACTCATATACACTTCCCTATTTTCTGTATGGGTAAATACTCCCAACATTATTTGGTTGACTGTATGTGATGTCAGACCCCAAACTTAGTGAAAGCAGCCTGTTAAACTCTGCTCGCAGTTTCATAGAACTTAATGGGGGAAACTGATAATTTTTCAACTAGTATTAAATGATGAATGCAGCGATATGGGCCATGAACAGAACCAAGAGGGCTTCCGCATGTCAGGCTACGGAAATGTGCACAGATGTGAGTGGAGTGGCATGGAGCAAGTCCCTAAAAAACCCCAGTAAGGACAAGATCCACGGTGACGCCTTACTACTACTACTGAGCCGGCGTCACCACGTCCTTTCTGTCGGATACAGGCCATGGCAAAACAACCGCCCTGCAATTGCCCAGCCCTCACAATAAAGCCCCAAGGTAGCTTCCAGTCACGTGACAGGCGCCCAAAGTGGGCGGGCAACTTCTCTTCTCAATGGCCCTCCCATGGCTGAGTGAAATCCCGAGCTCCCAATCGCCCTGCGACGTGAGAAGTGAAGGGCAGAGCCTGGCCAGAAGGAAGACGCTGGATTCAGGAGGTGTGCGTGATTGACAGCGCTCCGGCTCAATACCGGCGTGGAGGTTCCCTTCGGCTCTCCCACCCCTCTTCCAACCATGGGCGGGGGTGGAACAATGAGAGGAAAAGGAGGTGGAGGCAGGAAAATGGCAGCGGCGACCGTGGCGGTGGCGGCGTTAACGGCGCCAGGAGGAGGCGGCGGCTGCAGTCCGAGGCAAGGCGCTGCTCCGCTCGCCGCCTGGCTCAGCTCGTTGCTGCTGGCGGCGGCTCTCGGCTTGTGTGAGTGGGTTTCCCGTGTCGGGGTCGGCGCGCCTGAAAGGGAAGGAGGGGAGCCAAGGAGGGAGAAAGCAGGGCGGGAGAAAAGCCTTTCCTCTTCGCTGAGCCCCGCCGTCTCCGCCAGAACTCGGGCGGCGGGGGAAGCGGAGCGCGCGCGGGAGGCGAGTCGTCTGGGGCGTGTGAACGCGACGCTGCGGCGGAGCGGAGCGCTGTTTTCTCGGTGCTGTTGGGTGTTGGCGGGGGATTCCAGGTCTCCCTGAGCCCCCCCTCGCAGCCCCTCCCTGGTCTCTCTCCGGTAAAAGGAAGAATGGGTGGGGGTGAGCTAACGTACGTGTCATGATGGTGGCGGGTGTACGTGTGAATCGCTTTGCAGAAGAGCCCAGGGCGGAACAGAGACCAAGGAAGAGCAGGTGACTTTTCTCTCTCCCTCTGCTACTCCGCCCTTTGGGTCTTTAGGTTGAGCTCTGCACAGATCATAATAAGGGTAAGTGCTGAGCCAGGCAAGAGGGGAAATTGCTGCGTCCTTGAATCAATCTCTTTCCTCTCTGCTGGTACCGGATAAAGCGCCCAAGACCTCGTATGTCTAGGATTGGTGTTGCCATTGTTTGGCTTTGAGTTTCCTGCCTTCATTTGTAGCGCTGCTTTCTTAAAGCAGTGTACAGTTCTTATTAGTCGTAAAGCAATGGATGCGATGAGGTAGTCTGGTCACGGGAACAGTCCCACAAACAGGTATGGCGATATACTGCTTCGCTGCACATGCTCAAGAGTTAGCCTGGGTCAGTTCAAGTCAAATGTGTGTTAACGCAGTCAGTAATGAAAATCTATCCTAGGAGTTGTTGCACACAGTTTTTACATGTGCCTTTCAGGGAAATTGGTTTCCACAACCTGGTCAAACTGACTTAGATCTGCTTGAGGGTGATCAGCTTACAGATTCCTTCTGAGGCACCAACATAATTATAAAACACAGTTTCCCATACTTCCGTTTCCTTTTCTTGGGTAAATTGACTCATCTCACAAATGTACAATATTGCCATGGCCATTTCTCTGTTACACTCTTAGAATATAAAATGTACTAGTATGCAAAATGGCTACTGGCTAGCTATATTAAGTAATGTCCTGTTATTCTGCAGCAATGAAATCAATCCATCTCTAAGCTGGGCAGGGCTTTCCCCCCTATGAACTAGCAGTGCTTTATTTTGTGAAGGGATAGTGGTTTGGACCTATGGAATATTATCTGTTTGAAACTCCCTTTTGTTCCTTATTGCTGAGCTATGTTAGAATGATGTTTTTTGTTTTAATCCCCAAGTAGCTGTTCTCTGGGCATTTCAGTTGCTTCCAGAAGTAACATATTAAATAGAATCAACATAAGCACTTCTTCATGTGCTGCTTAATACATGAGGTAATGAATAACCTGGCTTAAATCAGTGTTAGGAACTCCGATATATAAGCTAGGTGCCAAATGGCTCCTTAAACCAAAGTTAGTCACCAAAATGGAATGTTTAGTTGCCATTTTGGGGCAAGACAGCTCTGAAGTCTTATTTATCAGACGATGCACTGTTTGTGATTCTCAGTTAAGCATCTGGCTAGTTCAGATAACAACCTTGAGCTTTGATAACTCAAGAAAGAAACGTCATTTGATCCAGAGACAGTCCACACATATATTGGTCTTTTTGAATCTCTCAGTGGTGATTGCCCCTGCTCAGACTGCACAGAAGAAGCATGTTGGTTCCAGAAATTCATTCTGATTGTGCTGATAAAACATGGCTGATAGAATTCTACAGGTTGGAGTATTAGCAAGGCCTTTTTTCAGTCAGACTGGTGGAACTCTGTTCCGGCACCTCTTAGGTGGGCGCCATTGCCATTATAAGAGAAAAAAGGAGGCATTCATGGTGAGTTCCAGCATCCCTTTTTCTAGAAAAATACCACTGGGTATTAGTTTGTGAAAACAGTCCAGATCCAATGATCCCCAGGCATGCACCTGCAGATGGTAGAAGTGTCAAGTGCCATCCTAGCAGCCAGGCATATTTACTTGGTTGCAAGTGGTTGAAAGCAAGGTGCAAAATGTGCCTGGCTAATTTCAAACATTGGTTTAAGTGTATTGGATATTAATCCAGCCGGTCACGGGAACAGTCCCACAAGCAGGTCTTGTGAATATGCCCGTACAGTGGTACCTTGGTTCTCAAACTTAATCTGTTCCAGGAGTCCGTTTGACTCCCAAAATGGTTCGAAAACCAAGGCGCGACTTCCAATTGGCTGCAGGAACTTCCTGCAGTCAAGTGGAAGCTGTGTCAGACATTCGGCTTCCAAAAAACGTTCGCAAACTGGAATACTTACTTCTGGGTTTGCGGTGTTCGGGAGCTAATTTGTTCGGGAGCCAAGCTCTTTGAGAACCAAGGTACCACTGTACTAGCAAAAATATAGTGGTACCTCCGGTTGCGGACGGGATCCGTTCTGGATCTCCAGTCAGATTCCAAGGTTTCCGCAACCAGAGGGACTGCTTCTGCACATGCACGCGTGGCGGTAGACTGCTTCTGCACATGTGCACAGCGCTGCAGATTGCTGCTGCACATGCACGCTTGACAAAACCCAGAAAAATACTTCTGGGTTTGCCACATTCGCATCCTGAAGGATACGCAATTGGAGGTGTGTGTATCCAGAGGTACCACTGTAGTGCTGTTTTATAATAATGAAAGAGTTACTTCAAATGGAAACAAAATATTGTTTCCTGTTGCAAACCTCATAGTTCCTACTAATCAAGACAGGCATTGTAAGACTTTTTAATTTGATGTAGCATTTATTTGATTAGAATTTAAAATTTTTTGCACAACTGGCTCATAGGAGGAAAAAAACTGGCAGTGGTAGCACTAATGGGATTATTGGAAGTGGCAAAAAATGAAAACAATTTTGGTTGTGGTTTACTGAAATATTATGCCTAAAGGGGGTAGTGAATTGTTCCCTTTTTGAACCCAAGTTTTTCGTGTGCCCAAATATATTTGACTTGCCTCTTCCAGAAAGTCCATTGAGATCACTTTCAGGATCAGCAAGCTTTAGTAATAGAAATAGGTCAGATTTTGTTTTTCCTTTCTACTTGGCAGTCTTCAAAAAATTCTATTTTTGTGTTGCATCGATGCCATGGATTGAAAATGGCACCACACAAAATTAGTGATATTACTAAAGTAAATTGTGCATGTCGAATTTGGAACTTGTGGAGTTTGGAGTCTTTATTCTGAGAACCCACTACGTGCCTCCTAGACTTAACCAGTGTGCAAAAATGAACTAAAAGTGCTCCTTCAGGCCACAGTTTAGAAGCCATTATTTGTATGCTTCAGGATGGAAGGTTTTTCCCCTCCTCAGATTTAGTCATATACTTCCTTCCCACACTTTACAATTATTGAGCAAATCAAAACAAAGGCACTTGTATTTCTTTTCTTTCATTAAATGGAGCGCTTTAAGATACACCAGAGTGAGAATAATAGGACTCTCAACTGTTATTAACAGTAGTCCATTATGGCATGGTTGCAGAGCTCCAGTCAGATAAATGGCCATTTCAGAGTCTAATCCTATTTCTAACCTAGATTCAGTTCGAAGGAACAATATTATAGACTGCTACTTTCACTCTTTGTTCAATAAATTCTAGGATAACTGACAGGGTTCCTGAATCTGTATTTGGTTTGTTTGCACCATGTCAAACTTTTCAGCTAAACATTCTGACTTCTCAGAAATATAAGCAATAGAGATAGCTCAAACACATGCTGAGACAGGAAAGGAAAATTATTCACAAAGCAACAATTAAGGTGTTTGTGCTTACATGCTTGTTCTGTATATGTATCTTTGCTAGTGTAAGTATATAGCTGGACTGGGGATGCAACTTACCGTATTTTCCTGTCTATAAGATGCCCCCATGTATAAGACGACCCCTATTTTTTGAGCCCAAAATTAAGAAATAAATATTTTAAACATTCTGTGTATAAGACGACCCCCAATTTTAAACTTTAAAAAACTGGGAAAAAACATAGTCTTACTCACTGAAAAATATTATATTTTTTTTAGTCTTGCGTGGATTCATTTTCAAATCTTAACATTTCAGTTGATTGATACAAAATATAGTTTCATTTCTGACTGGATAGTTGTTAATGGTTATACAGTGGTACCTCGGGTTAAGTACTTAATTCGTTCCGGAGGTCCGTTCTTAACCTGAAGCACCACTTTAGCTAATGGGGCCTCTTGCTGCTGCTGCACCACCAGAGCAAGATTTCTGTTCTTATCCTGAAGCAAAGTTCTGAACCTGAGGTACTATTTCTGGATTAGCAGAGTCTGTAACCTGAAGCGTATGTAACCTGAAGCGTATGTAACCCGAGGTACCACTGTAGTTTGTGGCTGTGGTTGTAGCATTGTTGTGAAACTTCGTAATATTGTTCTCCTCAACAATAACTTAGAAGCTTTCCCTAGCTTCTAAGCTTCCTAGACCAAGTCAGTTTTTATAACTGGACTTAAGTATACATTCTTTCCTCCTTGCCCCACCTTAACTGTTCGGGGAAACTGCTACTGACTGGTGACTCTTTACCTATATGCGTGGAAGCCAGCAAATACTTGTTGCAAATTACAGTGATCTTTGCTTATGTGGAGCTGTTGAAAATAATCCCCATGACCTTCTTGTCATGTTTTGTAATTTTCCATGCAAGACGGGGCTATTTCAGTATTGAAACATCTTCCAAAATTTTGCAATACCAGCTCAACAGAGCCGTAAGTAATGTTTAGCAAAGGTAGTGTAAAGAGCTCTCTGATGACACATTTCCAACATCCATCTTCTAGCTTTTTTTAGTGCATTTCTTATTGAGTACACTGTTGGGAGGAAATAGGGCAGGGATGGGGAATTTGTGACCCTCCAGATGTTGTTGGTCTCCCATCAGCTTCAGTCAGCATAGCCAATGGTCAGGAATGATGTGAGTTGTAGTCCAACAACAGACCTACTATACAGGGTTCCTTGTATACTGCTGTCCGTG